TTTTATGACTTTAAAGTGGGTTATTTTTTTAAAAACAGAATTATTTAAGTCTCTTTTTCCAAAATCAAAGCGTTCTTGGGATAAAAACCCTTTGAGCTTGATGGTATGGATTGAAAAAGGGCAAACAATCGTCGAGTCGAACGTATTATTGGTCTTTAAATACGACCTGTGAGGGATTTGTGACTGTATTGCAGTTTTATGCTGACATTACTTTAAAAAATGAGTTTAAAACAGCTTTTAAGCATCATAATCACCAATAATTAGTGATATTAACTGTTAAATACAAGCATGCAGACTCTAATACATACGACCTGTGTTTAACTGGTGCTTTATACTTCTACTTTTACATTTCAGAGGGAAATATTGTATTTTTTACTCCATAACATTCATCTTTATTGACTCAGATTGAGATTTTACATTAAAAAAAACATATGGTTTCCAATCTTTTTGGCTTGTGGCCCCTAAAAAGAAAAACAGTACCTCATTGGGGGCCTCTTGTCACATTTCAGATGAGTTATTAGCAGACGTTCCCCCTCCAAACTTCTCACATGGTTTCATTTAAATAAACCAAACAGATAAAATGATTTAATATTTCACCCCCACAAAAACTAACATTAGAGAATAATTAAGACAAATGGGTTTTTTTCTTATTTTCTCTCCCGATTAATCACCTCGAGACAACATTGTTTTACAGTTTATTTATACACAACCTCAGAAATAATCTATAATTTGATTAAAGATGGAACAATCTGATATTATCTGACGTCAATCACGAGTTGAGTGTCTCGTTATTTCCATAAATAACATTTTTTATAGTTGTAATAGTGCTTTTACTCGAGTAAAGGATCTGGGAACTGAAATACTCGTTTCGACGCTTCATGAACCTAAAATTATACTTTATAAAACCGTAACACTTAGTTTTTGTCCCGACCCGATCTCAGCAGGTTTTTAACTAATTGGTGTCGGCTATATTGAGCTTCATTGATCCGATCTTTTGTTTTAGGTCACACAGCTGTTTTTACTGACTATATATACGCACTGGATTGATTTTAATTACTTTAACGTACTTGAAGTGTGCACTGTAAAAGGAAAAAGGCTCGATGTCGGCTGATATTCAACAATTAAATGACTCTGGGGGTAAAAAAACCTTCAACAAAACATCCCTAGAAACAAAAAAAGAAGTAATTTATGGTAAAAAAAAGTCACACTTCTGGATGTGTACGGCTTCAACGTGCTGTTTAAATGCAGTTGGGAGATGGTAGTAAGCGTGGTGTGAGTGTGTATAAAGGGGGAAGGGTGGACCATAAGAGCTACAACACTATGAATTATTAAAACGAACGCCACTCCCTTTTTAAAAAGACTCAAACGCCGACACAATGCCTCTCTGTGAGCTTCACACTGCCTCCTCCAAAAAGAAAAACCCTCTAAACTTGACTCCTCTTTTGACCTTTACATCCGTCGCAGCGTTCCTGTGATTCTGCCCGGCCGGATACTTTTCCTCCCTCAATTGCTTTCTTTCAACAAGTCGAACGAAGGGCATCTGTCTCGCTTTTTTTACGTTCAGAGGAATGTGCAGAATGTGCCCTGTAGTGAAAAGAAGAGAGATTCCAGATCTGCTGTGAGAATAAAAGATAACACAGTTAGCTCCGGAGCGAGAGGCCGAATCATCCGAGCCGTCTTCCGTAAACAGGAATCGATACGGACTCTGCATTTCCTGCTTCGGCTGGTCTGCCCGGTTTGTGAAACAGCAGCGACGGCTCTCTTTGGGGAGGACTGACGGCGTAAAATAGGCGTTTTCTCTTCTATCCTTCAACGAGGCTCGAGAGGGCAGCTCGATCGCCCTCTTTGCAAACGTTCGGGACGAGTTTAAACCTTTCTTTTAACGTGAAAGGTGCTGGTAGTGAGGAACCCACATAAAGACATCAGCCTTAAAGTTTCCGGGTTGCAGTTTAGTTTTTAAGCGAATCTAAAGCTACTCGCTGGCTATATTTAACGGCGTAGTATCGATCTTCTTATCTGACGTTCAGCCACAATCCGCACTCGCGAATTTCCCCAAATATCAACCGATACAAGTCAAACAGTACGAGAACGAGACTCTGCTTCCAGTCTGAAACTATCTGACCTAGAGGTGCACAATATTGGATTCCTGCTGATGTTTTCCACCTTTTTCTGGCTGTTGTTGATGCCAGTGTGTGCACATATTTTCCGGCTAATTGCAGAGAACCTCGAGTCTCTCCCTTAGTGGAAATAACATGTTATTATACCTCCTCTCATTGTGATAGCACACGAGCAGATCCAGTTCACCGGCCCCTCGTTTGTGTCTCCTCACAACTTTTAATCTGGATCGTCTTTATATCAGACAGTACAGTCGCTGCTCGGGTCCTAATAACTAATAATCTGACTCAATACGAGGAGTTGGGGCTTGATTTAATCCGTTTTGGATCGATTTCATTTAAATTTTGCTAAAGTAAACTGTATTAATCAGTCCTGTTACTGCCGACTTTATTCTCACTTCTTGTTTAGAAAGAGTTCATACGTTCTTCTTTTTGCAGGATAGTTCACCCGCAGTTGAAGATCCACCCGAGTAGTTACCCACGTTGACATCATAACGTAAAATCGGCTGTGATGTTTGTGATCCTCCGTTTTTTGTTTCGCCGTTGTTGTCGAACTGAAACGTTTTTGCGTGTGCGATGACCCTTTGTCATTTTTTGCGTGGTATTTTGTGTTGCAACTTGAAACGCCAACGATGTAAACTGCAGCTGCTGTACATCATCGCACAGATACTGGGGTTAACTTATGGACAAAAATAAATAAATAACATCATGGACAAAAAATAAATAAACAAACTTTATGGGTAAAAAAATAAAAAATAAATAATAAAAACCTTCATGGGGAAATCGATCTCGTGCCTGTTAATCGATATGA